TTCCTTGCTTCCTTGTGACTTGGTAATAATTCTGTTATCAGGAGTCTCTATTTCCACCCATAAGTGCTTTGCTTACTTGCCATCCTCTCTTCCTTAGGTCTCTCCTTGTGCTAGACCCCTCCCAGAATGTCACGACTCATGAAGCCCACTGCCTTGGGTGTCTTCCCAAGAGTGCAGAATAGAATGGTGTACCACCTTCCTTCTCTGCCCTCTGTAAGCTACTCGTGGAACACATTGGCCTTTCTGGGTAGCCCTTCATGTGTGACTTCCCACATTTGGGATTATCTTTAACATGGGTTACTTTCTGGGGCATCTGGATGGCTCAGTCAATTAAGCCTCCAACTCTTGATTTCACCTTAAGTCAAGATCACACAGTTCGTGAGATCTAGCCCTGCGTTGGGCTCTGTGCTAATAGCACGAGATTCTCTCTCTCCCACTCTTTCTGCCCCTCCCCCTGCTCTCGCTCACAAAATAATAAACTTTCAAAGAAAAAGGGGGTTATTGTCTGAACAACATACAACCAAGAGCAGACCTCTTTGGTGTGTCTTTTTACATCACGTCCCCAGTGCAGTTTGCTGTTGGTTTACCTGCCTCCTCCTTTCTGACCATTCTTTCCCACGTGTTCTGGGGTTCTCTTTTTGCCCAGCCCTAATGTTAGGATCCCATGTCTCTCTCGTATCTTCTTGTCTCCTTCTTCACATTCTCCTTGGATGATTTCAGTCACTCTTGGCTTCAGCCAAGAATTGTAGGTTGTATGCTACAAAATCCTGAATTGTAGGGTCGGCTGGATTTTTTTTCTTTTATCTTCAGTTACTTACTCTCCACTAGGATTAGAGTTCTGGGGTACGAGTAGCTTATGTTCATAATTTCTCTGCCTCCCACCTCGCTCCCGTCTGCTTGGAATCTGTTCTTGTTTCTTTATTTCAGCTAATGGTACTACCACCCACACCCTTGCGTAAGCTAGAAATCCAGAAGTAGCCTCTGTTCCTCTCTCTCGCATCCCTCACTTCCAGGTGGGCACTGAAATGTCTGCCTCTTGCTCTTGAGGGCTCTGAAATCTGTCTTCCCTCTCCCCCCAGCTGCTGCCTCCAGTCAGTCCATCTCACTTCCCGCCTCTCCCCCACCGCAACCGACTGCCTTGTCTCTCCCCGCTCCAGTGTGCTGCCTTCTCCACAGCTGAAGCAATCTTTCTAAAACAAATGTTCCTCTTGCCCCCTGCCAGTGGCTTCCCATGGTGTATGATGTGGGAAGGTGATGGCCTCATAATTTAGTTCCTGCTTACCCTGCATGTGAGTTTCCTAGGATCACCGTAGCAAATTACCACAAACTCAGTAGCTTGGAACAACAGAAGATTATTCTCTCATATTTCCGGAGGCCAGGAGTTGGAAATGAAGGTGTCAGCACAGTGGGGTCCTTCTTGGGGGCTCAGAGGGAGAATTGTGTGCCTCTCTTCTAGTGGCTGGTGGTGGCCAGCCATCTGCGGTCAGTGTTCCTTGGCTCCTAGATGCATCACTCCAGTGTCCCGTGTCTTCAAATGGTCTTCTTAGAGGGACACCAGTCACTGGATCAGGACCCACTCTAATATAGTCTTCAAATGGTCTTCTTAGAGGGACACCAGTCACTGGATCAGGACCCACTCTAATATAGCATGGCCTCATTTTAACTAATTATATCCGCAAAGACTGTTTCCAAACAAGGTCACATTCTGAGTTCCGGGTAGACATGCGTTTGGGGGCGGGGGGAAGGGACCCCATTCAACCTAGTACATTCTTCCAGCCTCAGCTTTTATTGCGTCCTCATCGGGGGTCTCATTCATTTGCTTTGGTGCCCTAGATGGGCAGGAATTCGCTAGGCAAAAAAAAGACAATTCCTTGCAGAGGAAGGAATGTATCCAAAGGGCCGCAGAGAAGGTGAAATTTGAGCTGAGTCTTAATATACTTATGACATTATTTTATGGGTTTTTGTTGTTGTTGTTATTGCCTCACAGTTCTTGAAGACGTAGCTCAGATGTCACCTCTTCTATAAAGCCTTCCCTGAGCTCCCCAGGACATTTCAAGTCGCCGAGGACTTAGTACCTGCGTATTTAGTGGTCTTCACTTTTATGTTTTGTTTAATCATTAGCTTGTATTCCCACCTGGCCTCTGTGGTCCTGGAGCAGAGTCTGTGCATTTTGTCCGTAGGGACCAAGCTTCCAGTCCATATGTGGTTTTGTGAAGGAGGGAGGGGATAGGGGTTTTGCCTTTTGTTTTTAAAAATCTTTCTTTTTTAATGTTTATTTTTGAGAGAGACACACAGAGTGGGAGCAAGGGAGAATCAGAGAGAGATGGAGACACAGCATCTGAAGCAGGCTCCAGGCTCTGAGCTGTCAGCACAGCAGGACTCGAACTCATGAACTCATGAACCATGAGATCATGACCTGAGCCCAAGTCAGATGCCCAACTGACTGAGCCACCTGGGCGTTCCCTAAAGATTTTAGTTTCTTTAAGTAATCACTATACCCAACGTGGGGCTTGAACTCACACTCAAGATCAAGAGTCTTGTGCGCCACTGCCAGAGCCAGCCGGGTGCCCCCAGCCCAGATGCTTTTGAAAGAAAGTGCCCATCTGCATTTAGTCCCTTGAGACGTGATCACGTACATTTCAGGGGAGGTCCTAACTCGCCTTAGCTGAGGTCGGGGGCGACTTGGATATGGAAGGAGGCTGCACCAGCCAGAGCCTCTCCACACTTCCTTCCATCTGGAGCTTCTGCTATTCTAACTATAGCCCCTTCTAGAAACAACACAAACTTTTAAAGTGCACAGACTGGACGTTGTATGCCTTTTGGTTCCACATAGTTTTGAGAAGCGTCACGGTCACCGGAAGGGCTCTGTGCTAACATGAACCGCATAATGGACCCATGGCTTTGCGAGATCTCGGTGTCTTGGACATCATTTGGGGCAGACAGAGCTTATGGACAAAGCCATTCCCATCCAGCAGACATGCTCATAAAGCTTGGCAGTTTTTCCACGTTCCTTATGTGGAAAAAAGGATTTTAAAGACTAATTTAATGCTGTTTTGGATTCCAGTTTCAGTTGAATTAATTCTAATACCACCTTGTTACAGTCACTGAAAGTCATTTTTTGATGAAAAAGACATTTCACTGTGGAGAAAACCAAAAAGTAGGGCTTCCAACTACATTCCTTACAGAGGTGAGCAAGGTACAGGCTGTTGTAGGAGAAAGCAAACACCCACTATGTAATACCTTTAAACATTCATTCTTTTTCCTTTTTTAAAACATTTTTTAATGGTTATTTATTCTTGAGGGAGAGAGAGAGAGAGACAGTGTGAGTGGGGAGGGGCAGAGAGAGAGGGAGACACAGAATCTGAAGCAGGCTCCAGGCTCTGAGCTGTCAGCACAGAGCCCAATGCGGGGCTCGAACTCACTAGCCGCAAGATCCTGACCTGGGCCGAAATCAGATGCTTAACTGACTGAGCCACCCAGATGCCCTTACCTTCACTTTTTTCTAATTACAATGTGCTATGCTGATCTGTTCATTGGTACTAATTATTGTACCACCTAGGCATGTTGGGAAAATTGCCATAGATTGTAAACAGGCACTTTTTAACTCAAAAGAACAGTCTGTGGTAAAATCCTATTAATTCAAATCGCCTTGCAACAAAAGTGACTTATAAAAATAGTCCACAGCCCCAAATTAGAGATCGTGTTCCCTCTGTAGTTTCCAAAGAAAACGCCTGGCTCTCTGTCTTGGAAGTGGCACAGACTCTGTATCACACGGTTACATTTTTATCCTAACGGGCCCCCTCGGAGTAGGCAAGGACTGAAGGGACAGTTTCTCACTGCAGCCGGCTACAAATTTTGTAGCTGAAATTCACGGAATCGCAGCCTGTCACGGGTGTCACTGTGTAGCGACCCTTTGCACATTGGGTAAATCATCTTGAGAATCACCATCCCGTGCCCAGTACAGACTGAAGTGGCTGTACTGGGGAGGGGGCTTTGCAGAGTTACAGAGACATTGTGCCATCGCCGACTTTCCTGTGGGTGGGAGTTCCGAGCATGGGCTCCAGGGTTGTGACAGGGAGTCTGGGAACTAGGATAGGAAGACATGGCACAGCTTTAGTTTTTATGCGTCTCTTGACTAAACCCTAACATTAGAAAATATGTATCATGGAGGCAACAATCCATCATGGTGTTTGTGGTGCCTGTGAGTCTGTCACTTCAGAGTTGGTGGTAGACCATGTGTTAGGTCCTCCTTAATGTGTTAATAAACGCATACAAATTTGTTTAGTATTCTGATAACTATATCCATATCACCTGTTTCTTTTGTGAATGTGTAGGTGTTATTCTATGCATTAGTTTTAAATGGAAAACTTGAAAAACCAGGAAAGACCTGAGAAACTGTCACAGAGTCAAGGAGACTAGGGAGGCATGATGGCTCAATGCCATGGATAGACCCTGAACTGGATCTTTGAACAGAAAGAAGACAATAATGGGAACACTGGAGAAATCCACGTGGAAGTCTGAAATGTGGTCAATGATGGTTTCCTAGGGACAAGTGTACCATGGAAATGTAAGGTATTAACAGTGGGCAAACCAGATGAGTGTTATTCGAGAACACTCCGTACATCTGATTTTACATTAGAGTCACAGTGTTGGGCCAGCTGCCTGCCCCTGGGGATCTGTGGGGTGGGAGTTCTGTGTCATCTCAAGGCCATCACTGTCACAACCCTGAGGAAATTAGAGACCAATCCAAGGATCGGGAGAAATTTTCCAGAGATAAAATAATTTGCAGTGTATTCCAGTAGAAAGGGCATGTCTGCGGGTTCACTTTGTGCTCTGTGGTTAGGAGCTGTTCTGGGCTTCCCCTTCGAAGGTAAAGCCATCAATAAAGGCCTTATCAGAGTCATTGCGAGGACTAACGGTCATGCGCCCACCAGGTAGCCCTTCTGTCGGTCGTAGCTGGTGTGTTGTAGTACATTTTACATGCGGGGCACCATGCTAAACACTTTTCATAAATTATCTAATTGAATCTTCATAATACCTGTGTTACACGACCATTTCCTACATAGGGAAGCCGAGAGTCAGAGGCTGGGTGACCTCAGTACCAAAGAACACTGAGCCGAACTAAATCTCAGATCTGTGCTATTTGCAGCTTCTGGTGTTCCTTTATCTTCTCTTAGGGCTAAGCCTTTCCTAAGGCCTGGTGGACCTGGTGACCGGGTGCTTTTGCTGACTCCTGAACCCTCATGTTTTTTTTTGCATGTCCATCCGCATCCAGATGCTCTCTGCATGGCTGTTGCCCATCACGGTTGGCTTGTCTGGGCTTGAGATGTAAAATGAGGCTGTTGGGTGGTCCTCCGGTCTGTCCCAGCCTGGAAAGTCTATTCTGCATTCTGTGCATTTTAACTGCTTATTCCAGCTGTTTAATAGGGGCGATTACTGGATCACCGAAGCCACAAGTTTTCTGATTTGTATTGGACGAAATTTGCATTTCTGTGTCACTCTCCCAAATTCTAGAGAGAGGAGAAAGAAAAGAGCTCTAAGATTAGTGACCTCCTAAAGCCACGGCAGTGAAAAGTAAACCCCACCAGAGGCCGCTGTGGCATTTATCCGTTCCTTAATTGGGATTTAAGGATTACTCTAAGGGACGTGGGAGTAATTTTATTTTTTTGTTCCCTTCTGTGATTAGGGTGGAGGCAGCGCGTGTCACCGTGTCATTGCCAGTTATTGCAAATTGAAGTCTATTTTGAGCGGTGGGGGGAAGGGTAGTTACTGCTGTGATATCTGGGCAGGTGAATTCAGCCATAAACGATTAGGAGGTAATGAGCCCAATTCCCTAACTGACACGCGCATGCACATTTGTCCCAAAGTGAGAAAAGCGAGAGCAGCACCTGATCCCCTTTGCTTACTTGGGTAACCCCACGATTTGCGCTCTCGTTTTCCAGTTTTTCCCCTACATCCTGCTCCTCGTCGCCATCCTCCTGTACCTGCCTTCCCTGTTCTGGCGTTTCGCGGCGGCTCCGCATCTGTGCTCAGATTTGAAGTTTATCATGGAAGAACTTGACAAAGTTTACAACCGCTCCATTAAAGCCGCAAAGAGCGTGTGTGATCAGGACGTGAGGGACGGCGTCGGCCCAGTTCCGGGTGTGAATGAGAACACAGGGCAAAGGTAACTCCGCCGCCAGCTCGCTTCTCATCAGGCTTTGGGGTGTGAGGTCTCCGCCCTTCTGCCCATCTGGGCGTAGGGCTCCCACTGTCGTAGACGGGGGGCTGTCATCCACCTACAGACAGGCTGTGGGAGCCAGGAAGGCCCACTCTCCCCGAATCCCACCCCCACCTGCCTGCCTCAGCACCTGTCCTCACAGCAGGAGGCTTTCTCTTGTTTCCGGAAATGCTGCGTCTCGTGGTCTGAAAGGCAGGTGTAGGTGGGGTAACAGGTTAAGGCGTCAGATGCTTGCTTTGACCTGCTCGTCAGTGGAGAAGCACGGAGGGTTATGGGGCTGCTGAGCTTGGAGAACCGGGGTGAGAAAAGTGGGTAACGAGTAGGCAGTGCCCTGCTGATTGCACAGTCTTCTCTGATTCTGGTTATCAACTGTGGTGATCATATATATAGCTCTGTAGGATCCCCGATACCAAGTTGAGTCTTCTGAGCACGTTATCTCATTTAACCCTCAGAACGTCATTACAACTGCATTTATTTACTGGCCACCCCCCTTTCCCCAGATAAAAACATTCTCCCATAGCTACCAGTGGGAGAGCGCGGACCTGACCCAGGTCTGTCTGCCCAGAGCCTGAGCCCCATGCCCTGGGAGCTGGCTGCCTCCCACCTGTAGGAGGCACACGTGTTCTGGCTGGGCTGGAAAGTCATCTTTATTCTGTACACTTGGGAAAAGTGTAGTTTTAAAAAAAAAAAAAAAAATTAGAATAAAACGGTCAACATTTAGCATTTACTAGGTGCCGGGCACTTTAAGGATTTACGGTATAACGCATTTAATTAACAAGACCTTCTTTAAAAAGTTAAGGGGGAGAACACTTTATTGTTGCTTTTTTTTTTTTAATGGGATTTTATTCCCTGATACTCCAGTGAAGTTATAGGTAACATAGGGAGGGAGGAAAGGTTCTTGAGATTTTTAGTGTGATATTGCTCTGTGTCTGCATCTTTCATCTTTCATATTCATATCCGTAAGAGTTTAAATATTTTTTATTCCTTTCCCCCCCCTTTAGTTTGTGGGAGATATCTGAAAGCCACTTCAAGTACCCAATTGTGGAGCAGTACTTGAAGACCAAGAAACACTGTAATAATTTAATCATCAAGTACATCAGCTGCCGCTTGCTGACCCTCAGCATAATACTGTTAGCGTGCATCTACCTGGGCTATTACTTCAGCCTCTCCTCCCTCACCGACGAGTTTGTCTGCAGCATCAAGTCAGGGATCCTGAGAAATGACACCACCGTCCCCGACCGGTTTCAGTGCAAGCTCATCGCCGTCGGCATCTTCCAGCTGCTCAGTTTTATCAACCTCATGGTTTACGTGCTGTTGGCTCCCGTGGTTGTCTACACGCTCTTTGTTCCGTTCCGACAGAAGACGGACATTCTCAATGTGTATGAAATCCTGCCCACTTTTGAAGTCCTGCGCTTCAAGTCTGAAGGGTATAACGACCTGAGTCTCTACAATCTTTTCCTGGAGGAGAACATAAGTGAGCTCAAGTCCTACAAGTGTCTGAAGGTGCTGGAGAACATCAAAAGCAGCAGCCAGGGTGTCGACCCAATGCTTCTCCTGACGAACCTTGGCCTGATCAAGATGGATGTTGTCGATGGCAGAAGACCTGAGCCTGTGGAGATGATGGCAGAGGAGCAGGACTCGATAGCAGAGCTCAAAGGTAGGGTTGGCTCTCAGGGCAGAGGCTGGGGAAGCCCACCGAGTGCCTGCGCAGCCGGCCTTCACGAACCATCCATAGTCTTTACCCCGCCCGGCATCACTGAACCATTTTCCTGTGCGGTCTTAGGTGAAACCCCTCCCCTCCCGGGAGACGGAGGGAGAGAATTGGTGCTGCCTCAGACCACCACAGGAAAGTGTGCCTTTTCCAGACTGTTCTCTCTTCCTTCTCCTCTTACTCTCCCCTTCTCCACCTCTTGCTCAGGCATTCCTGCTTGCTGTCATTCTCGCTCATTCTTGTCCTGTTCTGTGCTTCTGTCCCTGCACCTCTGAGCCCTTGCCTGTTGTTCTCCACCCACCTCTTTCCAAAGAGACTGAAAGTTCATTGATTGAACTGTGGCCCTGACCGAGCTTCGCCGCGCTCTGATATTTGGCTCAGAAACAAAAGCCGGTAAGGCGTGAGATTTCTGGAAGAGAAAGTAGTTCATGCTGTGGCTTCCTGCTGTGTGACTTCTACCATAAATATTTGTTTTTCATTTTGACAGATTTGAATGCGCCCAGTGAAATTAAAGTAAGTAATGGAGGGAAGAATGCTCGGCAGAGACTTCTGGATTCTTCTTGCTGATGGGTTTTTTTTTTTTCCCCTTGAACCGGAGATCTGTGACTTCTGTGAGGTGGGATGTATAATGGCCGAAGCACTCAGTCAGGTTCCCAGCTGGTGTGCAGCCAGCGGTTCTTGGTAGAGACACTGAGTGCATCCTATCAAGTCCCTGATGAAAATGACGGTCAACGGGATGTTGCGGAAGAGAAGCACCGTGGATCAGTGAACCGCGGAGAGTGCCGATGTGTTAAGTCCTCATCAAGTGGAAAGTGGAAAGGCTTATCAGAGAGTCATAGCCCTTGTAGCTTCAGAGAAGCTCCCTTCTGTGCAGATGGTGCGATGAGGCTCCGAGCTATTAGCAAGGACTTCAGGAAGAGATCTATTTTAAATTCGTTTCAGGAAATAATAATAAACACGTCAGGATACAATTTTAATATGAATCTGCTACGTACCCTTAATGCCTGTTGGACAAGAAAAACATCCACCGACCCATCAGCAGTGCTGCTCCTTCCTGGTGGTGTTCTAAACTGGGGACAGTGCTGCTGTCCCTTCACACTACTGCTTGTCACCCTGGCTCACTGAAATCACTGAGACAACGGTTTGTCACACTCCGCTGGGAAGGGGCCGTGGGCCCGCGCACTGCTCTGATGGGAAACTCGGTGAACGAGATAAGACTGCGAAGGATTCTGTACGGGAAAGAATGCCGCTAAAAGGGCCCCACTGGGAAATCTGCACGTGCAGAACAAGTTAACTCACTCAGTTTTCCGAGGGATTTTCTCCAGATCATTCCTCTGCTGTCAAAAGAATCAAAACAGGATGTTACGTAAATGAACAGAACACAGAATGCTTAAAACGAGGGACATTTTGCCGATTACGATCAGAACATAAATGTGACATCTGCCATATGGCGTGCTTGGAACCAGAACTTAGCGGTTTATTTTACTTCTATTGGAGCACATCTTTTAAAACTTCATTTTAATTTAGAAGCATATGATATCAAAAGTGAGGCCATTTGGGAAGGACATTCTAGTTTTGATGGAGAATTATAGAATAAATGTTACAAATGGGTATATACCATCCAGCATTATTTTATAAACACTTAAGTCTGATTCAGAAGATATAAAAACCTTTCTCCATTCTGACCATGTAAATAGGTCCTAACGATGTTTACATTTTATACAGAATTCTTTAAAATTATATCTGTGGATCACCCAGCCTTCATTCTTAGGAAGTTAACCAATTTCTAAAGTAAGTAATCCTCAGGAACCTCCAAGCTTACCTTTGGCTCTTAGGGACAGTTGTTTAATATAATTACTGTTTTGTGAAAAACAAAAGTTATATAAGCTGCTGAGAATATTCTGTCTTTTCAGAATATTCACAGGAGCAGATTTTAGCTGCACGTGCACTCTGTGATCGTTTCTGAGATGGAAAGTTAACAATAAGTATTAAGGATGCAAATAGTGCTTTAAGTTATTCTTATTATGTGATATTTATTACCATTGAATTATAGTGTAATTTGGAAATGGTAGTATCCTAAATATTCCATTTCCCTTCATTTTTGTATCTCCGTATCCGTGTGTTCACTGTTCACAGTTCCACACTGGTTTCTTTTTATACTTGGAAAAGATTTCTGAGAGCTATTTTTCTATGCTCTACTTCCCCGCCTCCACAAAAGCTCCATCTTCTTTATAGGCTGCCCCTAACTTGTATTTGGAAGTGGTAAAAGCAGATCCATTATCTTGGGAAACCAGCAACTCCCTAAGCCCTGTCACATGTAATCCTTTTGTCAGGACTGTGGTTGGAGTCCTTGACCTCTGTTCCTACCTGCTGGGCTCCAGTGGGGTCTGTGATGTCCCAGCTAGTCCCACTAGTCAGTGACTGTGGGGATGTGATGAAGAAGGCAGGTCCCCAGCTTTGAGGAGTTCAGAGTCTAGAAAAGTCCGCAAAGGCAGAGGCAGCTGCAAAGAAGAAGAGCAGCCGCAATGAAGGCCCTTCCAGAAAACTCCGAGCAAATGCTCTGCGTTCTGGGTGGATGCCATATTGTTTTCCTCTCTGCCATAGCTTCTGGAGCCAGTGGTTTTAAGAATCTAGTTGCGGTTTTTCCCAGAGGTTCTTTAGCTACTACTACTCCAATCTGAAGCTCGGACAAAACAGGAAGATAGACAGCGGTTTTGAGTAGCAGGAGCTCCACTGGCCTTTACGCCTTACCTTGTGGGGGAGGGGAGAGCAAACCTGTGGCAGCCATGGGGTTGCCCATGAACGACACTCGTGGAGCTAAGGGGCTGATGTGGATGACTGGTCATACGCTCTGGCTGGGGAAAAGGGTTATCAGGAAAGTTAACTCATTCATCCCCTGTGAGTTGCTGGCTTACAGGACTACTTTTGAGGGTCCCGTTTTCTGAGGGTAAGGAGTCATTCATTGTTTTAGAAAAGAGAACAGACCAATCCTAAATGAGTACCCCAGGGTCACTGACTTTGTTTCTGGCTCATGTCTTCCTATATAAAGCACCGCCTGGGCCTCAAACGGATCATTCTGAAAGCAGCATCCCGCCACGTGTTTGGTTTTACCACACGGCAGGCAGACACTTCCAGTGTAAACCTTCTTAAGCCTCCAGGAAGGTACAAATACAACCCCCTTGCAAATACTTGTGAAGCTACGAACCCTTCCCTCTGATACGCACACAACACTAAATACACCTTTGCGGGTGATCATAGTGCACCCAGCTGTGCTCTGGCGGCTGGAGCCCGAGCCGCACGGCGGGGAATGGAGGCCCCTTTGCCCACGAAGGAAGCTGCTGCATGCTTACTCAGTGAAATGGTGTTGGCGCACTCTTGAGCGTGCTTGCTGTACCTTTTGAGGAATGGATTTCGTTTTCTACAGTCAGGCTGAAAAAGTCGAAGAGAGTGAGTGGGTGGCAGTGGCCCAGAGTGACCCCTGTCCAGCGTCTCTCGAGTGTGGGTGAGGGTGAGCACGACACTCGTGAAATGTTTTTGTAGCCGTGCTGTGAAAATGCTAGAACTTCCAGCTGGGTGGCAGAGCTTGTTGCATGTCTGTGTTTCGTCCGTAGAAGCCACCTGTTCACTGAGCATCCTCTCCTATCCAAGGATGAGTTGGGGGCGGGGGGGGGCCGCTGCCGGCCTCGGTCCTGGGACAAGGAGTTCCGCTCCTGGGGGCTGATTGTCGCCTGCTTTTTATACTGTGTTCGTGTTGGTGTATTTTACTTATTGTTGGTCTCAGTTGATAGACTATGTACAATGATGGGAGCTTTTATCTACTGCTGTATTGCAAGCTCCTAAAACAGCGGCTGGCTGGCATGGAATAGATGTTCTGTAAATATTTGGTGAACACATGAACACAGAAGTCCTAGTTTGTTGGCAACTGTGTTAATTTTAAAAGGCAAGCCATCCTCTGCAGGAGAGGGGAGGCTCAGTAGTAGAGATAAGTAGATCTCTCTAATAGTAGAGAGAAGACTATTTCTGTAATTGACTAGATCTCCACATGTAAGTAGGGACACTCCTTAGATTTTTTACTGTGGAGTAAGTTGTGACCACTTTCCAAGTTCAGTACAAGTTCAGTGTTGCCTTGCAGTGATGGAAATTTTTTTTTGAAATTGAAGTTTTAAAGCTGCTGATCTGAGTTATTTCCCAGAAAGACCTTTGAAAAAGAACGCTGATTGAAATGTGCAATTACTAGTAATTGGTGATTCTCCTGAGGGCATGGAGATGAAATGGCTCCTTCTGGGCGATCGTTGGCCTTTCTGTCCTATTTTTCAGAAGTAATGTGAAACCTTTAAAAAAAAGGTTGGCAAAAACGGTATTGTGTCTTTTGTGGAACATAATAGATGTTAATTCGTGATTGTTCGGCCTGCTGGAAATGAAATGTATCGCTTCAGCGTTCTCTTTAGCCGTAAAAACACTCTGTCACTGAAAGCATGTGTTTGATCCGTGATTGTTCTTCAAGCTCTTGAAAATTACAAAAGTTTCTGATGCCTCGAGTGCTTTCCCACCAGAGGAGGAAAGTCCCTGTAGAATTCGACAGTGTCACAAGTGTTCCCTACAAAAGATGAGGCCATCAATTCCTCTTTACAAGTTGGCTTTTTTTAAAGCACCATAATTACAGCCTAATGGGGTTCTGCAAAGCGGTGCTCTAAGCATAATTTACATTCTTTTCAATGACTAAACATCTCCAGAACTTTTAAAGAGAAATCCGCATCTTCTTTTTGCTGTGTCATTTGGTTAGAATGATGGCTTTCTATTCCACAAGGATTAAAGGATGACAGCGTACCATGGTTAGAAAATGATCCTTAAAAAAAGCACAAGAACCTTGAAAGCTCTCCAGTTTGGCAGCTGTCACGGTTACATTTTGTGTTTCCACGTAAGCCATGTGTCCAAGTTCTGTGTTGTGATGAAGCTGGCCTCCCTTAAAGGAGGGATAAAAGGCGGAAAATCAAGGCTACTGTGTCAATACAGGGGAAACACCATTTTGGTTCTGCACTGTTATGTCCACCTGAATAAAACTTCTCTCAGTAGTGGAAAATGTGTCTTCCTGTTTCTTGCCTTCTCTTCAGGGAAGACGGGCCCTGAAATGCGTGGGGAGGCCCATATTCCTCTCTGCCAGACACAGGAGATTCAGTAGCCTCCACGGTACTCTCCACAAGCCGGCTGGCAGCAATTGGAAAAAGAAAGTCCTCCATTAAGGGCCCACAAGATCCTAGAATTTCCACAGCAGACATCGCACTCACGCTGATTGGGGGATGGTTTGTGCGGGCTTGGGGAGGAAGGAACGGAGACCGTATGCTGCTAGACATGGGTTGGCCTGCCCACCTCTCCCACCAGGGACACTCCTTCATACATGGTCCCTGAACACAATTTCTGTGGTAACAGACGTAGATAACAGAGCAGAGCCATCAGAGTGGCAGTGCAGTGCCTGCGGTACAGTAAGTAATCTGTAAACGCTAGCTCCGGCGCCCTCCTGCTCCCCGCCCCAGGGCACCTTCAAGTTGTACCCGCTTTCCAGTGTTCCTCAACAAGTCACCACAACCATAACCCCTTCCAGCAACATACCTGCATCATCTCACAGCTTTCTGGGTCAGGGGTCTGGACGTGGCTGCACTGGGCCCTCTGCTCAGGTCTGATGAGGCTGCAGCCAATGTGTGGACAGACCACATCTTCCTCTGGAGACTCAGCAAGGGACAGAACCGCTCCTAAGCTTCCTTGGGTTGCTGGCAGAACTTATTTCCTTGTGATTGTCTGGCTGCAAGTTACTATTGGCTGGAGACCGCCCACAGTTCCTTGCCACGTGGGTTTCTCTCATGTGACTGCTCATGTCATCAAGCCCATAAGGATCGAGTCTCACCTCAGGGAGGGCCCAGTCCTTTTAAGATTTTCTACCCAGTTAAGTGATGCCACTCAGAATGTTCTCTCTCCCTTTTGGTGAACTCAAAATCAACTGCTTTGGGAGCTTAATTACATCCATGGAATCACTTCGGCTTTGCCATATTCTGTTGCCTAGAAGCAAGTCACAGGTCCCACCCACACTCAGGAGGAGGAGATTGTACAGGGTGTGAACAACGGGGGAATCATGGGGCCACCTTGGGAAGTTCTCCTAGATCCCAGCCGCTCTGTCTCTGAGCTCGTTGTATAAGCTCAACATCTTTCTCCCTCTGTTCCCAGTGCTATCTTTGAGCCTCTGGGTGAATCTTACCCTATCTAACCATCTTTTGCATTTCTGTCAGGACTGTTTAGAATACAAATCTGATCATGCCAACCCTCCCTACCTCACTCCCACCATTTTAAATCCCTCGAGACTCTTCATGGCTTTGGGGATAAAGAATAGACTTGTGGTTTCTGCTACGAAAGGCCCCACCTCCTGCCCACTGCTTCAGGCCCATCTCTACCACCATACCTCTGATCTCAGATGCAGCTCCATGTCCTGCTTCTTCCTCAGGTGCCTTCCCTGTTCCCACCTCTTCTTCCCTTCTATTCAAAAGTTTCAGCTCTGGGTTGGTGGGAATATAAAATGATGCAGCCACTATGGAAGATAGTATATCAGGTCCTCAAAAAAGCAAGCATAGGTTCCCATCTGATCCAGCAACCCCACTTCCAGCTATGTATTGGTCAACTCAGGCTGCCGTAACAAACCCCCAGAGGCTGGTGGCTTACACCCCAAAATTATTTTCTTATGAGAAATACAGGAGGCTCTTATATAAGAACCTCTTTCTGGAGGCTAGACATCCAAGCTGGAGGTTCCAGCCAAGTCAGTGTCTGGTGAGAACTCTTCCTGGCCTGCAGACAGCAGCCTTCTTGCTGTGTTCACGTGCGCCTTCCCTTGCTGTACGTGGTGATCAGGGCTGGGGCGGGGGGTGGGGAGAGGAGTCTCTTCCTCTTTTTATAAGGCTACTAGCCCTATGGTGTTAGTACCCCACCCTATGACCTCATAATTATCTCCTCAAGGTCTTATCTCCAGATACAGTACCATTACTGTATGGGGTTAGGGGCGTAGGCTTTCAACATATGAATGAGCAGGGCGGGGGTGGGGTGGGGGGGATAGAAGGAGAAGAACTGGCCAGTCTATGCACTAAAAGTGCAGTGAAATAAGGTAGGTGACCGATGTCAACCTGTGACCATCTCAAGTGACCTTGGGGAGAAACCCAAAACAAGAAGTATAAAACCAGTTAAGCAGAGGCAGGCAGGCAGTATTTCCGAAAACTCAGATATGATAGAAACAATGTATTAAGATGATCAAAGGGTCTTTGACATGTCTATGTGGAAATCAGGAAACCTTAATTTTTATAACCAAATTATACCTTGTGACATGCAATTATACCTTGAGAGAGCTGCCTGTAAGCATGTCTATTCTGTCCCCTTTTTGCACATGATCCCCTCTGAGATCACAAGCTTTGGAGTTCTTCAGAGCAGCCTGCCGAGCTGTAGTCCTAGGTAAGATAAGGAATAAAGTCTTTATTAACCTACTTTGAGGTTGACTTTTTTTTTTTTTCTTTTTCAGTCAACAAGTCCAAAGCAGGGTATATACCTCAGAGAATTGAAACTAGGGTCCTTTTTTTGTTTGTTTGTTTGTTTTAAGAGGGAGAGAGCGAGAGAGAGCACAAACAGTAGAGGGAGAGGCTCCAGCCTCAGTGCAGAGCTCAACATGGGACTTGATCTCATGACACTGAGATCATGATCTGAACCAAAATCAAGAGATGCTTAACTGAGCCACCTAGATGCCCGTGAAATTGGGCTCTTGAAGAACTATTTTTACATCCATGTTATAGCACCATTATTCACAATAGCCAAAATGTGGAAGCGACCAAAATGTCCATCAGTGGATGGACAGAATTTAATGGAATCATTTATATACAGACCCTTCTCAAAAAAGGAAGCAATTTCTGATACGTGCTGCAACATGGATGAACCTTGAGGACATCGTGCTCCGTGAAATGAGTCAATCACAAAAAGACAACTTCCTATGATTCCACTTCTATGCATTACCTAGAGCAGTGAGATTCACAGAAATAGAGTAGAATGGGGTTTGCCAGGGGCTGGGAGAGGGCACGAGAGAGTGTTGTTTAAAGGGTACAGAGTTCAGTTCTGCAAAATAAAAAGAGTTCTGAAGATTGGAGATTGGTTACACAGCAATGGGAATGTACTTATCTCTACCAAACTGAACACTTTAGAGCGGTTAAGGTGTTAAATGTTACGTCATGTGCATTTTACCACAATAAGGAAAATGCTCCAGCATCCACTCCAGGCAGCTCTCTGTGACCTCCTCTCTTCTTATCCCCGTGCTCAGGTCACATAACTTCAACTCTTTATCAGTTTAAGGATTTGTTTTCTGCCTTTCCTTTGTCGTTGGGCAGCCAGGAGTGCCTGAGAAATATCACACACACCCCACCTCAGAGGAGGGGGAGCCCTAGCTTGTACTTTGCCCTCAGCCTGCCTTATGTTCCCTCATCATAGGCACAGTTTGCGAGAGGCTTAGTCTATGATGCATCCCCTACCTCACAACACTGCCAACCCTGTTCCCCTCCACCACTATCCCTCCCCACCCCCACCCCCCCACCCCGGCCCAGTATAATGATGAGGGACCATAAGGCAAGCTGAGGGCCAAGCACAGGCTAGCACCACTGAACCCAGGTGGGATGTGTGTGACATTCCTCAGGCACTCCTGGCTGCCCAAAAACAAAGGAAAGAAAACAAATGGTTAACTGAGAGATCACAGTCATGCAGGACATGAATCTCAATCAGAGATACAAATATCTTAGTAAATTATAAGAAAAAGGCCATCTTATCAATAGCCTAATCTCCAGTAACCTGTAAACTCAGCTTCCGGGAGCCCCAACATCACCTCTCCATAGTGATATGGGGAACAAAAGCAAGAAGAAAATGGCGGGTAAAGTTACATTTCTTTATAACCTGCAGCCCATTGACACATATTTGAGGTAAATACAGAATATAGCATTTCTCCAGGACACTTTCTGTCTTAATGTTAATGCTTTGTTGGAGGGAAAAACAACCTTAGCTTGACAATAGCTTAGCCTCCAGTATCCTGTGAATCCTCTTTAGCATATGAAAATCTCTTTGGAAACTTCCTTTTTGCCTTTACCTCCCAAACTCCATAGTATATAACTAGTCATTCTTTACAACCCCAGTGCAGTTCTTACTGCCCATTGGCCCTGTCTGTCCCCATGCTTTAATAAAATCACCTTTTTGCACCAAAGACATTTTCAAGAATTCCTTCTTGGCCATCAACTCTAAACCCCACTCTCACCCCCCAGGGGTAAGGGCAGGGGGATGGGAGAGAGGCTGAGCTCGAGGCTGCTGACTTGAGCCAGCAGCTCTGTGCCTTCCAGCTAAAACTGAATTACAGTTAACAGCAGGATGGAGAATTTGTTGATTCAAATCCCATCTCTGCCCCCTTCAAATAACATCAGTGTCCTGGGTTCCCCTTCTTGAAAGTGAGGTGGAAAAAGAGAAGGAACGTGTAAATCCTCCTTTGTGGTGCACTAGAGACTGCAGACCCCTCAGGGAAAGGAGACGCAGGCAAATCCAGTGAATGAAAGAAAATCAAAATACATTTCCAAGAGTCCTGTCTGATTGTTTCAACATGGATTTCCAGATGCAAGGAAAAGGAAAACCAGAGAAACACAAATGCTACCAAAAATCACTTCCCAATCCCCAGAACCGTAATTCACAGGAATTACCCTCAGGAAGCAGCAGAACCAGAGCATCCCTGAAAACTTCAGGAATGTAGGAAGGGGCTATTCTGATGGTGATTTCAGAGGTAAAGATTTTAACATTCATCTCTTGCTCATTTTGAATATCAAAGCCGCTACGAAGGAAGCACTGTTAAGCAGAGAGGCCCTTGAGGCTCTTTACCATCTTTTAAAGTACTCTATAAATAATATAACCCCTTGAAATAAGGGAAGCTCATTTATGAGAAAAGAAATTACCCCAAACTATGGCTGCTGTGAAAAGGAGCAGAAAAGAGAGTAAGCATAAGAATGGGCTAGATAGGCTGTCCAACAGAATATGATGAGAGTCACAGAATTTAGAATTTTCTAGTAGCCACATAAAAAAGTAAAAGGAGACCGGTGAAATCAATGTTAATAATTTTTTTAACCCAATATACCAAAGATATAATTTCCATGTGTCATCAATATAAAACATATTGAGATGTACATTTTTTTTGGTACTAAGTCTTGGAAATACCAGCATGTATTTTACACTTGCAGCACCTCTCATGTCAGACTAGCCGCATTTAAAGTGCTCAGTGGTCACGTGTGGCCAGCGGCTCCCATATAGAACAGCGTAGGTCAAGACAGAATGTTTTGCCCACATCTGCTCCCACCCGAAGGCTTGTGCTTTAAATGTACTAGTGCCTCTGCCACTGTTTCCTCTGGCCTGAGAACCTTGAAGACTCCCTCTTTTCTGAAAGATTATCTGCCCTTCTCATCAGAATAGTACGTGTCCTCTGCTAACGTGAAACTCAACAAGTCAGTGCGTACTTACCACCTGCCCGCGAAGAGATGAGATACTGCTATACCCAGGTCGCAGTGTCCTCACCGACCAGAGACCACCGGGGAGACCGAGTCACGCATGCAAAGGCAAAGGGCTTTATTACGGGCTCGAGCTCGGGCTCCCAGACCTCACCAGCGCCGTGGGTCCGTGCTCAGAGCCCCGAGCAAAGGCAGAGTAGGGTTTTTATGGGGCTTGTGACGGGGGAGTTACAGAAGTTGTGGCAGGGGAACAGCGATCCAACCATAACTGTACAACATCACTGACAGCGGGTTTAACCGTACACATTGTCTAGAGTATTCGTTACTTTTGGCGGGACCCAATTACAACGTTTAGAGTACTTTTAAATTCAACCAATTACAGAGCGAGCCTAGGGTCTTGTTCGGCGCCTAACGGGTTAACTTTAACATTAGGCAGCTGAGATTTATCTCTAGTCGCTGGCCTTTCTTGACTGGGCGTTGCCAAGGTGGTGTGGTGGCGTGAAGTGGTGGGCAGTGTCTTCGGCCTCTGGCAATGTGTAGCTGCCTGATCGTTTCGTGGAAGCTGAAACTCAGGCCTTCTAGTTTAGAGGGGAAACTTAAAGCCTGTCATGGAGTCAGTCTGGTTGAGACTTGTGGCCTTACAATACCTCCCTTTGAAGGAGCTTTAATCTGCTGCTTCCCCAACGGCTCTCTCTTGCCTTCATTGTTGTTTTGTTTGTTGCTACTTGTCCTTGTTTTCCTCCACGAGCCACAGACCTTGTCGAATTCAGGCGTCTTGTCTTCGTGTCCTCATAGTACATCTCCCCATGCCAACCGCCACGTAGCAAGTGCCAAGCACGGCTAGAAGTGGGATGGAAGAGGCTGAGAGAAAGTCAAGTCTCTGGGTGGAGAAGTTTCCATTCCTCCAAACTGCAGGTACTCAGGGTCATTCCTTCTCCTTCAACCAAAGCCTCGATGAGCTGGGCCAAGAGGTATAATAAGAGCGCACGGTAGAGGCCCTCCAAAAAAGTCTACCCACCAACGAGCTAAGTCAAAGACTCCCACCGCGCAGTTGGATAAAAAAACAAACACTTCCTGTGTTCCCTGGACAGGAGCAGGCACTGAAACACTAAAGAGAAAACTTCGAAGCCAATGGGTGGAGAGAAACTTGGGACTGCAGGTACTGGGCTGGCTTGTGGCAGCTCCCTTCCCCACTCAAGGCCCTTCGTAGAGAGAGAAGCTCACAGCTCTGGGGTCAGAGTGTTGTTGAAAACCAGTGTCCTTATTTTGGAGCCAAAATAGAACTTTAAGAGAGAATGTGGAGTAAAGAGGAGCGATAGCTTTCTTGCTTTGCTGGGCAAAAGAGGCTGCAGCAGCCTGAGCCTTTAAAAGCAGCAAACTTGCTGGGAGGAAGGGGCTGGTGGGCTTTATGGGGAAATACAGGATCTGGCCGATTCCAGGGGGGGATTGTATGCCTCCCGCCAGCTTCTTTGGTCACATTTCCCAGGTGGTATTGGGTTCCTGAAGCAAAAGGCTAAGAAAGGAGGATCGGAGATTTGCAGAAAAGAGGAAAAGGTTACTTAGCTTAAAACCCAGCTTCTCGGAAGGAGGAGGCAAGATGGCGGCGAAGTAGGGAGCTCCGTACATTTCACTCGCCGCCATCTCTCACAGGGAGAAGGCCGGAAGCCATAGGAACCCTTACAGAATCCAGGAGTTTGGGAGGAAAAGGAGACAGAGTCCACTGAGAAAACCTTACAGCGTGAGTGCGAACTGGGGAAGATAAAAACGGGCCAGGACCGGAGACACGGAGGGAGGGGAGGGAGCCCCCTTTGTGGGGAGCCGCGGTGAGTCGAGGGGAAAAGAAAAAGCGGCTGAAACTGCTCAAGAAACTGCCCCTGTCGCTGGAGAAGAGAAAAACTTCGGCTCGGGACACAGGGATCCGGTTTCCTGCTGTCCAGCTGACCCTGAGTAGGATGCACTGGTCCCAGGTGACGCCGAGAGAAACCACTCCTCTGCCGACCGGTTCGACCTGGAGGGGAAGCGGAGGCACCTGAAGCCGCTCCACCTCCCTTCTGGCTCAGCTTGATCCCCAGCGGGGAGGCGAGTGGCTTGAAACTGCTCAGAGGGACTCGGCCTGCGGGTTTATTTCTGGCGGTATCAATGGGGAGCTTGGACTAAGATCTGGGAATGAGGCCTGGCCTGGCCAGGGAGGGAGATCCTACCCAAAAGAGTGAGTTGCAACACTTGGTTCGAGAAGGGACTGGGGCGCTGCCAGTTTTCTCCCCACAACCACCAAGGTGGGACCTCAGGGAGCTGCCCAACAGAGCCGTGGAGGCTAAGACCTGCCTTCACCAAATCACGTCCATCCCCTCTAGAGAGACGCCTTTTTTTTTTTTTTTTTTTAAACCGGAGCCCGGGGCAAGTCCAGTGTGGATGCACTACCATGATTAATTCTAGATCAATTCTTTCTATTCAGATATATTCTCCCTTTTCTCATTCGTATCCCTCCTCTCTGCTGGACTGGGCACTCTGGTCACTGGTTTCTTTAAAGAGTCACATTTAATCCATTCTCTACATGTATATTCTATACCTCCACCGCTACTTTTCTGTCTATCTCTGGAGTAATCAGATTATATAGTTTCTCTGAGTAACATTATCTTCATTTCTTTCTCCTCACCTCTAACCATATTCTCCTCTTTCTCTCTCTGAATTAAGCCTCTTAGTCTCTCTGCCTGGTCATCATCCAATTTCACTTCCTACCCTGTCATTCCTCTCTTTGTATATGCTCTTCCATCAACACTGCATATACCCTGCTCTCTATTTGTAGCTGGGAATTCTGGCTCTATGCTTTTAGACTGCCCTTTGTCTTTGGGGTTTTTTTCCTTTTTCTTCT